CCTGTTCCAAGGGACTCTAAAATTCAGTAATGAAGTGGAGAGACAAAGGATAACGATTTGAGGGAATAGTGGTAGGTCAAGGGAAGGGAGTTTTGTTTTGTTTTTTTGTTGTTATAAGAAGAATCAAGTATGTTTATAAGCATCCAGGAAGGGGAGATAGGAAAATTTAATGGGAATGTGACAAGATCCCATAAAAGACAGAAATGAGTGGAACTGAGGACCATGCAGAGGGCTTAGTCATAACCAATAGGAGTGGTATTCCACACTCTGAGACTAAAAAAATTCAAGGTTACATAGATTTTGAGTCATCGTTGAGAATGAAAGATGAAGGAACTCACAACAGATGGTATCAGTATTCTCAGTAAATTAAGAATGAGATTTATCTGTTTAAAAGAGGGGTGATGGAGTAAAGTTAGGGCTTTGAGGAGAGAGGAGAAGGTATGATATGGAATCACACAGTGATGAATAAAAGACAACTTTATATAAAATTTTAAAACTTTTACATAAATAAAATCATCAAAAGCAGAATTTGAAGAGAAGATATAGAGTGGGATATTTGCATCAAATAAAACTGATAAATATCTGATAACCCAGAATATATAGGGTCTTGACATGATACAAATATATATACATCATAAGCCATTCCTCAAGAGATAAATAGTCAATCTATAAGCATTTACTGGGTATTCACTTTTTTGCCAGGCACTGTACTAGCTGCTAGAGATACAAATACAACCAATCAAAAAATCTCTATAGTCGAAGAATTTACATTCTAGCTCAACTCACTCTTTGAACTCCACCTCCTGGAGGAGTAGCCCTGCCTTCTTGACTGGTAAATCTCTGGCCCAGACAATTATTTCAGAATGGGCCCCATTCATGTTCACTTTGTGCCCAGCTCAACTCATTCTGCACCTCCTCAACAGTAGCCAGTACACTCCCTGCCCCTTTTCTGTTTGTCTTTATGTTGGTTTCTTTTCTTTTTCTCTCCCAGTTAGAATGTAAGCTTTTTGAAGCTAGGGACTCTTGTTTACTTACACTTGTATCCCCAGCACTTAGCATTGTGCTTGGAACAAAGTAACTGCTTAATAAAATGTTTTATCTATCTATGCTCAAGGAGGAGACAACAGGTACAAAGGACACTGATCAACTGACCGTATGAAAACGTGTTCTAAATACTAATAGTAAGAGAAGCATAAACACTTCTGAGTTTTCACCTTGCACCATGTAAATTAACAAACATGAACAAAAAAGAAATGGTCAGCATTAGAGAGGATATGGGAACACAGGTGCCTCAATCCTGCACAGATAAAGAAGCTGTGAACTGGTCCAACCATTCTGTACGACAATTTGGAATTAGGCAAAGAAAAGAGGTTAAATGTTCCATAGCATTTGATTTAGCAAACCCAGTGTTAAACATATAGTGTAAAAAGTCAAAGACAGAAACAGAAAAAAAAAATATGTGTATATATATATATATCCCAAGTCATTCAGAGCAGCACCCTTTATAGTAGGAAAGAATTGAAAAAAGATGTCAATTAATTAGGGAATGACTGAAAAATTATGTGATACAGATAGAATGGAATATTACTGTAGAATAATAAACGCCAAATATGAGGAATTCTGAGGAACATGGAGAAAATTGTGGGAAAACTGTGAAATGATGCAAAGAAAAATAAACATGACCAAGAGAACAATATGTACATAGTGACTACAACAATATAAATAAAAAAGATGCCTTAAAGGAAGTTGAACTCTAAATAACTGAAAAATCAATGGTCTTAGAGAAAATTATGTAATACAGATAGAATGGAATATTACTGTAGAATAATAAATACCAAATATGAGGAATTCTGAGGAACATGGGGAAAACTGTGGGAAAACTGTGAAATGATCTTAGAGAATAGACAAATAACCTCACTGCTGAAGAGAGATAGGGGAGAAGATACACAATTAAGACAGAATATTGTATACACATACATGTGATGTAGATGTTTTTGTCCAAATGTTTTTGTCCCAAGGGAGGACAAGAGATGGTAGAAATGACTTTTATTTAAAGACAAAAGGTACCCAATAAGATATATTTTTAAAAATAAAAAAGGATTGACAGATGATATGCAACAATGGGAACCCAGTCAGGGTTAAATCACATAACTTTGTAGTGGAACTGACAGGACAGATGGGTTTGGTGACTTCTTCCAGAAGCAATCTGCAGCTTGAGGATAGAAGCAGAGACTGTAGCAAAATATGTAGTGCTAATATATGAAGCAAAGCATGCAGTTAGTAGAATGGAAAGGCAAGGAAGTCAAATGACCTATCATCCAAGATACTGGGCAATTGAGTGCAAAGACAAACAAATTTCAAGGTGTGGAACGAGGGAGGAGGAAGGAAGGGGGAAGACAAGAGAACTTAGGACAGATGGCCTCAATCTGCCAAGTAAAAGAAGTGGGGTGGGATTCGGGTGGAAGACAAATGCTAAGGAAACAGGAGGTCTGGAAAAGCCACAGTAGATAATATGAAAACATGTCTATCAGAGATAATGAAAAGGATTGCTACACAGTGCTAAAGATCCAGCTGAATTCCACAATCTTTGCTGTCTCAAGTTATCTTGAGTTATTAAAATTCTGCAGAAAGCATTTAGCGTATTTAAAGCAAACTAAATACAAATAATTCTAAAGATACAGAGATGCCGTATTTGTGCAGTGATTCCTTCCAAATCTACGGTTTATAGCTCTCAAATATTCTCTGAATTTTCCTTTAGGTATTCTAATACTAGCAACAGCACATAAATGTTTATTTAGTATGTAATCAAGACGAAAAATACAGTAACAGTTGTTTGCTCAGAATGCTTTAGAGTTAAGATGTGTGATTTATCAAAGAAAGTTAAGATCAAATCAATTTAACCATTTATTTATCGTCTCCCTCATACAAAGTACTGTGCTAGATGCCACGTACTCAAGAAGATTAAAAATTAAGTAAATTAAATCAAATTGCCCACAAACAGTTTGCTATGGCTATCTCATATCCCCAAAGATTAGTAAGTTAATGGTAAAATTATAGAAATGTTTCGTGTATATATGCCTATGTATCTGAAATAGCCACATAGCACACTATAAAAATAGTCATGTTACACATTCATTTGCAATGCCACATATAAGATCCAGCTAAGAATGTTTCTTCATAACTCAAAATTCATTGAAAGTTCCAATTTATAAGTGATTAAATTTAGCTAATCACTTTCCAGCCCCATTATATTGATCAAATGAAGTTAGTCACAAAGAACCAACTTCCATCTATACTATCCTTAAAGGGTTACAAAATTTTAACTCCCCCCCAAAAAAAAAGCCATGAGAAGAAAAGTAATCTCCTTAAAATGAGTAATAGAAACTAATGATCATATTTTTGGTTAAAATATCTATATTTATTTTTTCATAATAACAGAAAACAATTGGCATGCAATTGACCCATATTCAAATCTGGATGCCCTCTATCAACACCCTATAATAATCATGGGCTTGCACAGATCTGTCTATGATCTCACCCTTTGAATAACACTCCTATCTACAAGATAAGTTAAGGGTTCAGTTTGTTGCCTGAAATAAATCCAATCAAATTATCTCTCCAACTTATTTTCTAATTAGCTTTATCAACCATATGCATTTTACTGGTCCTTAATGATGAAAGGCTTAATAAAATATTTTATTCAACTAAAAGAGGGAAGGCTAAAAGAGTAGATCTCACAGACCTCCAGTTAAGAGAACAAAGTTAGTATGTTTGTAGCTGTATTAGGTGAGACTTTGCCTTAAACAGCAAGGTACATGTTTCCACTATAAGATGGGGGAGAAGGGAGGAATTAGAAAAACTCTTGCAGTATTCAAATGGACTAACCATTTACTATAGTTGCAAAGCCTTTAACTTCTGCAACCTAGTAAGTAAATCATTTTAATAGTATTTAAGAAAAGTTCTCAAACATGCTATAACTATTAATAACTGATATTTATATGATGTTTTAAAGTTTGCAAAGTATTTTACATGCATCTCATTTCATCCCTACAACCTTGGGAGTCACAATAAGACATTATAGTGCAGTGAGAAGACTACTGGCTCTGGAATCTAACGACCTGCCTTCCTGTCACCCATGTGACCTTGGATAAATCACTTAACCTTAGTAGCCTTATCTACAAAATGAAAGGATGGAACTAGACGAATTCCAAGGTCCCTTCCAGTTCTAAATTTATGCTGCATTAGGTAAATACCCCAAGTATCCCATTTTATAGATGAGAAAACTGAGCCCTAAAATGGTCATATAGCTGGCCCATGGTCAGTCACATAGCTTGCCCACGGTGTCAACTGGACGGAACCAGCCTCTAATCTCTGGGTGGCCAGGGCTGAACAGAGCCTGCTAGAGATACGAGAGTCAGGAATCAAACATAAGGTTAAAGTAAAAGTGAGAGAAATAGCTTGTAAGCAAAAAGGGGATGTAGACACATGTGCTGGGGGCCCCACCCCTAGTGGAGGCACCCAAGGCAGTGTGGAGAGATCTCAATACTTAATACAAATGGCAGTACAGTGAGCTGTAGCCCTGACAATGAGGGGTAACAGCAACAATGTGACAAGTTTGATTCAAAGCAGAGTTTCATAACCAGAACATGAGAACACCTGGTACTCGCCAAAGCGATACAATAATTATATGAAACAATTCTGGGATTTTGCTGTGGCTGAGATCATCCTGAGGGTGAGCTCAAAAGACCGTTGTTATGCCAAGCTCAGGGCACAGCCTGCTTGTTGGGCCTTACCTCTGGAAGCCAGACATTGGTCACACAGCTGGTAAGAGGCAGAGCCAGGAACTGAAGCCAGGTCATCTAACTCCAAATCTAAGCACCCTACCTACTTTGCCCAAAGTAGAAATGTTAGTATGCTTCCAAGATTGCTTTGGCCTGTTTTTGATGCATTTTAAAAATCTTTTCAAAGTATAAAATAGAAAATAGAAAAAATAAGCTTACCGGAGAAACTGTCTAATGTTTTCTGCCTTCATTTCAGATATCAGTTTCCACCTTTCATTTTGGTAAAAAGGCACTAGAGTGCCTATTTCTTTGACAGGTTTAATAAACCAGCCTGAAAAACATTGCCACAACAACTTGTTACTCCCTCAAAAACTACCAGCTCAAATTTATATTAATACCAGAAGACCTGGAGAACTTGACCTACTCCATGAAAAGGAGCCTTTTCCTACTAAATACAGGTAAATTTGGTAGTCATGTTTAATTTTATTCCATTTCTGAACAGTTTTATATGCCAAGGACTTGAGGGTTGCTTAATTTTAGTTGAACAGCGTTTGTTTCTGTTTTACTGCTGGTGATGTAGCATTCCTAAGCCTGGGAAATGCTCTTTCACACCAGTGAAGAGTGACCCATGATGGCAAATGACATTCCTCAGGACTGTGGTAGGATGGTAACTGTTTAGATTCCTAGAAAAATACTAACATGCATGCAGTACAGACAAGAAATCTGTGCTGAATTGAGTAAAAGTAGATCCATTAAGTCTAACATATGTTGTGTTGTTAGAGATAGGAGCTGGACCTGCAGTTAAGCTTGTAACTCTTTCTGATTAGGAAACTCCCTTTAGCAATTCAGGGATACACCTTCTCAGTAACTCAGTCTTAATTCAGTTTCTGGCTAAGGGTCATACTGCAAGTGTAAGTCAAGGCAAGACTTGAACCCAAGATTTTTTGGATTGGCTCTTTAGCCATTATACTTCACTGTTACTCTAATTTAATGTTGTTGCTATCTGTGTAACATCTTCTATACTAGTGACTTTTCCAAATGCTACTTGGGCTAGAATTCAGATTTCAAATCCTTCCTTCCCTCCCACCCCCCACTATCCCATTTCCAGCAACTGACAGTTTACTGATTAGCCAGGCAGTTCACTACTTCCTGGAAGGGAACTTGCACACTCCAGAGAATCCGTAAGAATTAACATAGGGCTATATGAAATTAGATTTGACTTAAATTTACAATGAACTCAATATTAAATTATCAATTAACCCTAATTCTTCTGTGTTTTCTGAAAACACAGAAAAGATTCGAGCTGTCCAGAAAAGAAATTATCTCTCTCCCACTTGGACCTCCTACCGTAGACAGCATGAAAAGGAAAACAGAAAAAAATCTCTGGGTTAGAAGTCCCTCTAGTTCAGATCCTTCCCATACTTAGTACCATCTCTTCAGCTTGTGGGGTTGGGGGACGGGAGGGAAGTAGAGTATGAGGAGGAGGATTCTAGGTGGTCAGAACCTGCTCACTGTAAAATGAACCTCAGCCCTACTTGCAGCCACCAACAAGGGAGTCTTCCAGGGCCCACCAGAGAAGCAGCCTTTTAAGGTGGAGCTTGGGATGGGAAGACTAAGGGAGGGAAGGGTTCCGTACTTACCCACCATAAATCCCGACAAGAAAAACATCAGCAGGGCAGTCAAACACACCCAGGTGTACAGTCTGACCCCGGTTTTAGCCATAACTCTAACTGGGCTGCGCTCTTTGCTCCACGGGGCTCTGTGGCTATCCTGGCTGTGCAAGAGAGCAGACAGGCTGTTCATTAGTTCAGATGCTGTCCCAGGAACCTCGATGCACTTACGTGACCTGAAGGGAGCTTAAGAGATCTGCAGACCTTCCCGGCCTGTGCTTCCTCTCTCCCCAACAACCCGTCACACCACCCCTCACACACACTTGAAGGCGGTCAAATAAACAAAATTCTTGACATTCGCCAAAGGCCGGGAGGCTGAGCCAATGGGAGAAAGGAAAGCCAGAACTGGGGAAAAAAGCACACGTTTTTCGGATTTGCAGCGAGCATTCCACTCGGTTGACCCCACTGTGAACCCCTAAGCCTCGCCTAACCACAGAGTCTCTAATGAGACAGGCTGAGCTGAGGAAGAATGGGCGGCTTCAGAATAGGCTCTGGTCCCGCCCTGCTTGGCCCCTATCACTCCTCCTGGCTGGCCCCTCAATCAATCGGCCACAGGACTGATGGACTTTGTTGTCCCTCTGTTATTACTTGGTAGTGGGGGTTGCTGAAGGATGAGCTAGAGTTTAAAAACAAAACAAAAACCTGGGATCTCATTTGGCCTGTGCTACTTACTAGCAGTAATCCAGGTCAAATCATGAAGTGGAAAGAGTGCAGACTTTGCAGTCTCAGGACCTGAACTCTGCTCTCCCACTTAATATCACTATGTCCTACCATTCTGTGGACAAGTAGAAATGTTGGAGTTGGACCAGAAGACCTATAGTCTGTTCCAACTCTAGATATATTAATCTCTTGGTGACTCTGTTTCCATATTTGTAAAGTGGGAGTAATTGTTGCACTATCCACCTCATAGAACTATTCATAAGGATCAATGATTTGTAAATAATTTGTAAATTTGTAAATAATGAAAATATATGAATGTCAGCTTTTAATATCCATCCACCATCCCCATTTCCAGCACCTAGTTTGGGGTTGGGATGTATCATTATGGACTGGCTACTACTAATTTAAGTATTTGATTAATTTTATAGGAAAGATGTTTGAAGATATAGAAAAGGTTACTTTGAAAGCACTTTGGTAAATGATAAGTCTCTGGAAATCTAGGTAGTCACAAGGAATGGTCACATAAAACTTATTTGCTGCTACTGCTCTTCAATTTAATTCCACAAACATTTATTAATAAGCTCCCCTTAAGTAAAAAGGGCCGACTTTGGAATCACAAAGACCTGTGATACCATTAGCAAGGTGCCTAAAGGTGACATTTAGCTCCTTTGTGCTCACACCACCACCTGCCACCACCACTCCAACAATTACACACCTTAAGTGACCTTAAACCCCAACAACTCATGCCCAGAAGCAGGGAAGAATTTTGCTGTCTGGATTTACTGTCATTTGCAAAATAAAGGGATTGGCTTGAATGATATCTAAGGTATCTTCCAGATCTAAATCCTATGATCCTATAATCCTATGATATTCATAAATGCTCAACTTTTTGAATGAATGAATGAAAAAAATGTTGTTTATACTTAATAATGTGCTAAATACCAGGGATACAAATATAAGAGCAAGATAGTTCCTGCCCTCAAGAAGTTTAAAACAAATGAGTAAGGCTATGGTCCAATAAAGCTTTATTTATGGAACTGAAATTTGAATTGCATAAAATTTTCACACATGCCATAAAATATTATTCAATCACTTAAAATACAAAAACCATTCTTAGCTCACAGGCTGTACAAAAGCAGGTGGCAGGCTGGCCCACAGGACATAGTTTACAATGACAACACATATAGGGAAGCAGTTGCCAGGGAGAGATGTTTGGTTTGAAAAAGTCAAGGAGATGATGGGTTGAACTATAAGAGAGGTGAATGGCACTCTTTCCAATAGTGACAGTACTATTTATCTGATGATTGTTCCCAGGGAAAATGATGGAAAGGAGATAAAAATAAAGATATGTACAATAGAAGAGTGGATGGCAAGAACGTGACTAGGATGGAATGTGAAAGATGGCTTTGGCCAACTAGATATTATGAATCAATGTGAGTTCAGGCAATCAAAAGTCAGCGAAGTGTGAGAACTAGGGCAGCAGTTCCGAATCTAAGTGATTTAAGTCCTTCAGGCACCTGATGGCTTGGAGAATGCACTGCAAGAACCCTTGGCAAGAAGATCCTTGTACTATTAACTTTTCCAGTCACATTTTACAAGCTTCTCCAACCATCTTATATTTCCAAACATTTGCAATCTTAGGTTTTACGTTTATAGATTTTCCTCTAAATTATTTAGAATGTGTCAAACCTCATCAAAAGTTTTCAAAAACAAAATTTAATGGTCCATATTGCCTATCCACCACCACCACCAAAGCTAATTGTGCACTTAGAACTTTATTGTATTTTAAATGTATAACAAAGGCAAAAATCAGTATAAGGACTTACAAATTTTAGTGCCTTGCCTTTATTAATTATTTCTTATCTATCCTGCATATATCTTGTTAGTGTATGTTTGTTTGCATGTTGTCCCCTCCCTCAGATTGTGAGCTCCAACTCTATTTGTATCCCCAATGTTTAGCACGATGCCTGACACATAGTAGGTATTTGATATTTATTGATTGATTATACCTAGTGCAGAGTGTACTCAGTGGAGCCATAGTGTTCTTCCAGGCCACTTCAGGCCTTCTCTTAGAACCTAAAAGCTTAACAACAAAAGGAGAGTATTCAATTATAAAACCACTTTCACATCATTTCAGCACTACCAGAGACCTCAGACCCATACCTGAACAATAATCTATTCTGTCAATATCTTGAATGTACCTAGTCATTAATATGTTGTCGCCTCCATTTGAATCTGAGCTTTTTTTTTTTGCTTTTGTTCCTTTGTTTTGTCTTCTGAGAACTTAGAATGGCGCCTGCTACTTAGTGTTTAATAAATATTTGTTTCAGCCTTCTCCAGGAGGGTGTTTTGCATGTAACACCTATTTCTGTCTTTTGTGGTATAAGGAGGTTTAGGGGAAATATCCTCTCCCCAGGAAAAAAAAATTAATTTTAGAGGTCAAAGAAAAGTAGCTTACAAGGTTGTATAAATAGAGACAAACCCTCAGTCTGTATTTTACTCAACAACAGAATAAACCCACTGATTCTATCTGGAAGGAGATCCACTATCCCACAGCCCCACTAATATTTTGATGGAAATAACTGTAGAGAATGGGATTAATTCATAGAGAAAACATGTCCACTGAAACAAACCAGATCTTTGGAGAACTGGAGATTCCAAGATCAATACACACTCCACAAAAATTACCTGGCATCTATCCTTATTACTCAGCCTCCCAAATAAGGACCATGGCTGAGCAACCTCACCTGATAAGACTACTTTTTTGCAGCCAATAATGTTGCCCTAACGCTGTATAAAAATTATGCATGTGTGTATTTCCCTTTGTTTCTTGAAGTTGCTAGCCACGTGGCAATTATATCAGCTATTAGTCAATCATTCAATAAATATTTATTAATACTGTGTACCAGACACTGGGAATACAAAGAAGCAAAAGATAGTCTCTGCCCTCAAGGAGCTCACAATCTAATGAGAGAGACAACAAATAAACAAATATATGCAAACAAGCTATAGATAGGATAAATGAGGAATAATTTTGAACTAAATGCTCTATAGACATCATAACTTAACAATTTAGTTAGAAATGTCTGAAAGGTTGCCTTGGGTATGAGTAGAGGTGGCAGAGACATTAGGGCAGGATTAGAAGATTTGAGAATCATCAGCATAGATATAATAATTAAATCCATTAGAACTGATGAGACCACCAAGTGAAGTACTATAGATGGAGAAAAAGGCCCAGGACAAAATCCTGTGAGACACCTGTGGTTAGAGGGTGTAATCTGGTTAAGGATCCAGCAAAGGAAACTGAGAAGGAAATGGTCTGTTAGGAAAACTGAGAAAGAATGGTGCCCCAGAAACCTTGAGAGAAGATAGTGTCAAGGAGAAGAGGGTGATCAACAGTGTCAAAGGCTACAGAAAGAAGGAGCATTGAGAAAAGGCCACTGGATGTGGCAAATAGATCATTGGTGACTTTTTAGATAGCAGTTGTGGTAAAATGATACGGTTTGAAGCCAGATTGTAATGGGTTAAGAAGGGAGTGAGATGAGAGAAAGTGGAGGCTTTATTGACCTCCAGTCAAGCAGACCAAGGTGGGAAGAATTACTCTCCAGGAGGATCTTAGGACCTTGACATTGAAGAATTCCACAACATGGACAAATGAAATAAATTTAATCCTCCTAGACCCCTCCTTAATCACTTTTTCTCCAGGCTAAATATCCCCAAATTGCTCAGTCTTCTTATACACGACATAACCTCAAAGCTTTTCACTATTTTGGTCATTCTTTTTAACATGTTCTCTAGCTTATCAGTGACATCTTAAAATGTGGCAACTATAACTAAACATAATATTCCAAATGTCATCTGACCAGGCCAAAGCACAATATTATTATTATTATCTCTCTTATGCTGGACATTATGCCATTATAAATAGTGCCTTAGACTGAGTCATGGTCATAGAATCTTAGAAATAGAAAAGACCTTAGGAATTATTAGAGAGGAGGAATGTCTGCTAAAATTCTCATATTCAGTTTGGCTGAGCATCAAAACTGAGAAACAATGCATGACTAAATAAATGTCTTTTCTCAAAAATGCAAATACTTGTACACTACCCTTTATAGTACATAGATCAAATACAATTTAGTACTTTTAAAAGCTGACTATAAATGAGATGTAAAATAAAAAAGAACTTGAAAAGTAAGGAAGAAACTATCTAATAAGCAAAAAAATGTAGACTTAGAATAAACACTATAACATAAACCTTAAAGATTTGCATTAGATTGACTTTCCCCCCTTGTCATTCACTTGAACGTTTTGTTTTTGTGTATCATTAGCTTGATGCTTGATGGAACCTGGATTTTTAAATGTTTTTGGAAATAGTAGTGTATTAAATGAATGTATTAGCACACTATTTCTTTTTTCTTAATTTTTTTTAATTTTTAGGCAATTGGGGTTAAGTGACTTGCCCAAGGTCACACAGCTAGTGTCAAGTGTTTGGTTTGAGGCCAGATTTGAACTCAGGTCCTCCTGACTTCAGGGCCAGTGCTCTATTCACTGCGGCACATAGCTGTCCCTAATATTTCTCTAAAAATGAATAGAGGGGAATGGGTAAACAAGTTGTGGTATATGATTGTGATGGAATAATACTGTGCTGTAGGAAATGATGAGCTCAGTGCTCTTAAACATGGAAAGACTTGCATGAAATAATGAAGAGTGAAATGAGCAGAACCTAGACAGTAACAGTAACAGCAATATTGTTCAAAGCACAACTGTTAACAAC